ATGACAAGGCTGTCGACCGAGTATTCTTCGAGATTGGAGACCACAAAACCTCCGTTTCTCGCCCTCGTTTCTGCTCTCTACTCGGATTTGCTTCTGACTCATCCAGAGTCCATCCGGAGTCCATACAAACCGGTCATATGTATAGCATGTTTTACAACATGGGATACACGGAGGTTCTTACATCCGTTGCCAGATTCAAGAAGTCCTGCTTACCGCCTCAATGGAACGGTTTATTTACAGTCCTGTTCAAGGGACTGTCGGAGAGAAGCTCAGGTTCAGACGGTGCCAGTCGTCTGTTCCTTACTATTCTGTATGGAGTTTACAATGGGATCAACCTGGATTACGGGTTCGTTCTATGGCAACAACTTCTTCAGAGCCTCTCATGTTCATCCAGACACTCTGAAGTTTCATTGGCCCGATTCTGGATTCTGATCACCAAATGGGCCATGGACAGATTCGACGTTCCCATTGCCGAAGGTGCATCGATGACTTCCGTTGGTACTTTTCACACCAAGAAGATCATCATCTCCGATGCCTCCAAATTCTCCTTTATTGGCTCGATTCCGGAGTCCATGTATGGAAGCGTACCTTCGGATAGCAGGCTGATCAGAAAGCTTAAGGAGCTAACACCTTCTGGTCCAAGGGTTCTGACCCCGGACATGCTCAGATCTATCCACGATGCAGATAAACCATTGAGCAAAGGTAAAAAGGCGGATAAAGGAAAGCAAGTAGAAAAACCTTCAAAGGGGCCTTCACCTAAGAAGAGGAAACAGACAAAAGCTGCCACTTCCCCCCCACCGAAGAAGAGGAAGACTCAACCAAAGCGAAAGCTCATTATACCCTCCTCTTCGAGTGACTCTGAGGGTGAGAGTTCGGATTCTGACGACTCTCAAGGGGATGCTTCTCCTACACGAGGCAATACACCACCTCGATCCCCTACCCCAGAGATTCAAATTCCCAATTCCCCAATTCCTTCTCCTCCTCAAATCTTTACCACTACCACTGAATCACCCCATGTAGCCGAACCTCCTCAACCCAAAACCCACACAACCGAAACTACCCATATACAACCACCCACCGAAACTACCCATACACAACCACCAACCGAAACTACCCATACGAACAACCAACCGAAACTACACCTTCACCCACTCAACCTTCTCCTAATAAACCCTCTACACCCCCAACCTCTCCACCCTCTTCTTCTCATGGCAATGCCTCTGAGGGTGAAAACCCTTATCTCGGGGGAGAAGACATGGTCTTTGATTCGGTCTACTATAGTCCGTTTCAAATTCAGAGTGATGAGGAGGATGATGCACCTGTCACTAAGAAACATCTAAAACAGCTCAACGAGAAGATTGATCTCCTTCTCGCCTCCTCGTCCAACCAACAATCAACCTGTCTGAAGCTGCACTTCAGAAGATCGTAGATGCCTTCACCAGCGCCCAACATGATTCAGCAGCCTCAGCAACTGCTGCAATTCAGGCATCTACCCGAGCATGTGAGGCTGCGACCGAAAAAGTCGATAAACTATTTTCTGATGCCTCTGCTCTACTGCAGTCAATGCAACAAAGTGCAGCTGACACAAAGGCATCATTGGAACCGATTGTCCAACAATTGGTCTCCTTTGTCACATCGGAGTTGCCATCGTTCGCCAACCTACGTAAAACCATAAGCGACGACAACTCGGCTTTTACAGCCTCCATTGAAGCTCGTCTCGTCAAGCTTCAAGAAGATCTGACATCCGAGCGTTCTTTAATGGACGATCTGGCATTAAAAACAACGGCTCTTGAGGTCAAGACCACTCAACTCTCTCAATCTCAACAAGAGCTGGAAGATCTTCGCTCCGAACGGGAGGTGGTTAAGACGTGTGTTTCGGATGTCCACGCTGTCATCTCAAACATCCTGGAAGCACATGATCCAATATTAAACTTTTCGGTGAGGCGATCCCTTGCTGAAAAGCTCTCTCCAGCCATTGATCTACTAAACAAGGTCGAAGGCCTCCCAAGTTTCGTGTCCATTCCGAAACAAGGGGGAGATGAGAAGACAAGTTCAAAACCACCTCCTTCCTCAAAAGCTTCAAAACCACCTCCTTCCTCAAAAGCTACTCATACAACTGAACCATCTTCAACTCATCAAATTTTAAGTTCAGGTATGAAGAACAAAGGTAAAGATATAGCTGAGGACGAAGATGAAGAAGGCGACAAGGAGACCATTGCCGACATTTTGAAACGAAAGAACAGTCGCAAGGTTGGTGATGATGCCAGTCGTGAGGCACGTGAGGCTGCTGTAGCCGAACGTAAGCAAAAAGAAGCCCACGATCTCCTTGAGAGCCGAAAGACTCTCTTCCCTGCCTGGACCAGGGAACGCTTGATCAAAGAGGCCATCGAAACTCCCAGCATCCTATGGCTCGAGCCGGTCATATCGTTCGACTGCAGCAATTCTGTCGATTCGCAGTTCGATATGCCGCTGACTCGAAAGGCGTTTATCTTTCACGTCTTCTCTAATATTTTTGATGTCCCTCACCCGAACGCTGAGCTTGACAGGGAGCTCATTGACTTTTACCTGAAGGCTGCTCGTCCTCAATTCCTTACATGGAGCGCTCAGAAGATTGTCAATGTTCGGGTGCTAAAGCCTTACACTGAGGGACGCTTCATAAACGTTCGGTTCAAACTGATTCGGGGATCTGCAAAATCTGTTCATCTCATCTCTCTAGCAGATCTACCGAATCTAAATCCTCATGATTGGATCGTCTTGTATAACATCCTTTTGACCAATGAAGCTGAATATGGTCCCATTCTAGACCATGTCAAAAGGATGTTAATCTGCTATATCATGGAGGTTGCCCTTATGGATCAGGAGGTCGCCACAGTCTTCAAGAAGAAACCCAAAATTGCTCCTGTGGGATCGGCCAGTGATCTAAATCAAATGCAGCTGGGCAAGATTGATCCGAGACGTAACACAGTTATGTTCACTAGAGCGGAAGGACAGAAATGTCTCTTCGCTTTAGCTGATAAGCATCTTTACACCACAACTTGCTTGGAGCATGTGCTTTTTATTGTTAAACGGTGTAAAGAGAATTCGGCTGATGATGTTAAATATTTTGAAGATATGATCAAATGGTACATCCGGTTTAGACAGACAATTCTTTCCATCACCAAGTGTCTGTTTAGTACCGTGAAGAAGGTACCAGTCTCGGCTGCTGGCCCAAGTAATAAATAAAGATCTCGCTCCAAATTGACGCAAAGGGGGAGATTGTTGGGCTTAGAAGATTGCGTCTTTTGGGCTCGTTTGTTTATAATTTTTGTATTACGGTTTGGGCCTGTCCAACCGTGTGTCTTTTATGCTTTGTATATAAGCTTATGCTTGCATGCATATTAGGTTAAGGTTTTAGAGATCTGAGAATACGATATTTTCCAGACGACTAAAGGTTTCTTTGATCATACTTGTAACCTTCCAATCCTCTACAGTTGATGTTCTTAATCGAGCTCTTCTGAGGATTTTGTTTTAATCATTCGACACGTTTGATTCATTCTTGTTCTATAATTTTACTGTGTTTATATCGTCATTGTTTTCATAACTTGTTCAAGATCTTATCGATCTTCATAGATTAAAAGAAACTTTAATCTCATCATATATATATATATATATATATATATATATATATATATATATATATATATATATATATATATATATATATATATATATATATATAACCATTTCAGTTTTTGTACTAATTCATTACTTATAACTGATTTCTTAAGGTTTTTCTCACGACATCTTACGTGGGACAATCATTATTGAGGTGTATAAGGCTTTTGATGTTTATGTCCATTGTGATCTCGACTACTTGGTTGTTTAGGTCATGTGTTATGAATGTCATAACTTCTTCATACGATCTTAGATTTTAATGATCTTTATATTCATGCGTTCGTATTTAGTCTACTATAACTTTCTTTTAGATTGTTCCTGTTAAAAAGTAATATATTTTTACTAATGATCTTTATACCCATACGCTTTATATGAATAAATATATTGATGTTTTTTTTTAATTTTTTTTATAAAATCGTAAGTAAAATTATATTACATTTTAACGGGAGTAATCTTAACGAAATTTGTAGTAGAGTCAAAACACGATTAGATATAAAAATCATTAAAATCTGATATCGTATAAAGAAGTTACGACTATCATAACACAAGACCTAAACCAAACTACAAGACCTATGCAACTAAGCAGTCGAAATCGCGATGAATGTAAGCATCAACAACCCCAAACTTCTCATTAATTATTATCCTACGTAAGATGTCGTGAGAAAACCTAAAAGAAATCATTCATAAGTACTGAATGAGTATAAAAACAAAAAAGACATTCTAAAACAAAAAATTATTAAAGACTAATGTGTACAAAAATAATAAGGACTAAATGTGTACAAAATATGAAATATATTATCCTATTAAGTTATTTTTCCCAGCTAACCTGGAGTAACCGGTCATAAGGATTGAGTGTGTATAGTTTAACAAGTTGAAAGAGTAAATGTAGACGAAAAAATAATCAGTGACTAAATATGTACAAATCAAAAAATATATTACCATTTTTAAGTCATTATCCCTAAAAGATTTAAATTACCTTCAACTCTTCAAGGACCAACATGTAAAAATTAACGCATACTTAAATTATCAAGGACCAACAATCACAAAAATAATTAGAAAAAAAAATGAAATCAATCTCATTTGATGTGTACCAATTTGTGCCCACAACCACAAGAAACATGTATAAATAGAAAAATATTATAACTTTATTGTAAAACTAATTTTCAAACAACGTCTCCTTAAAAAAAACCAATTTTATTATTTTAAAAAAAATTTAAAAAAAACTTTATTATATAAATAAATGATTTACCGTTGCTTAAAAGGCCAAATCTATAAATTGGGCCGTGCAAAGAGTCGGTATTTGAAAGAACCCGACCCAATTAGTTTCCATTGAATCAACTGTTTAGTGTTTATCACTTTATCTGCTAGCTCCTGTTTGTATATCACGACACAAAAAATCTTTTATCAAATTCATATCAATCGCTGTTTCGTTAGCTCCGCATTCTTCCCCCGCCATAGCCGAGTTCGGAGGTACGTTAGCTATGTCCAGTTCTCACCTATTAAGATAATCGTATCGTTTTCTTCTCCAAATTACTGTTCGTATATTCAATCTTGTATCTCTGCATCTGTTTTTGTGTTTTTATTTACATTATTGCCTTCTATATATCGATTTTGACCTTATTACCACATAATTATGTATATTTCAAGCATAAACTTATCGAACAAACCCTAGCTTTGATTTTCAGACATCATCCGCCGGATTTTAAGTAGATATTCTGATGTTTGGATTTGAAACGTTTATTTATTGAATACTTGATTATGTTCATTAAGAATGCTGTGGTTTTTTAATGAACTGTGTGCAAATTTCGTTGAAGTGTTCATTAGGAGAATTTTAATGAAGTTTAGGAGGAGACAATAAGACATCATTACTTTATAAAGCAATTTAGCTTAACTACATAAATCAATAAATCACATATTCTTAACCCTAATATCCGTTTTCTTTTAGCCCTAAACATAGAAGATGGATGAAACCAATGAAAACAAAGACACCGATCTGCAAACTGGAGAAAATGATGATCTAAAAAGACAATTATGGAGAAAATTTCGTCCAAAGCTATGGTTTTCAGCCATTTGGAAAAAACATGCTCTTGACTCAAAGCTAAATAGTACCAAAACATTCTTGAAGGCTAACATCATTCCTGCTTCAATCTCTCTAGCAATGGGAATCTGTTATCTCCTCTTGAAATCAAAGGGGCAAAAATGTAAAGTTGCTCCATATTCAGATTTATTGAAAGGTCTACAAGATGGAAGTGTAACAAGGGTTCAATTCAAAGAGAACTCACGTCGTATAATGTACAATAGCAATCCACAGGCTTCTCAAAGTACAAAAATAGTAAAAAAGGAACATTCAAACAACTTTAAAGAAATGGTGACATCTTTTCTTACAAAGTTGTCGAGAAAACCTGAAGGTTTGAATTTGACCGAGTCAAACCAATCAAGGATTGATGTTGAAGTAAAGAAGAGGGACAACAATCATGGTTGGCAGTTTTCTACAAGATACATTGATGATGATTATAGAGAGCTTCTTCATTTAATGAAAGAAAAGGGGACTACATATGGATTAGATCCTGAACCTTTTTATGTTTCGGGTGGGAGGAGGGTATTTTCGACATTATTAAATCAGGCTCCTTCATGGGCTATGTTGTCTCTAGTCGCTCATGGGCTTGGTGGTGGTGGTAGTATTGCAAGAAAACCTAGTAAAAATGATGAGGTTACTTTTGATGATGTTGAAGGTGTTGATGATGCTAAGGCAGAGTTATTGGAGGTAATTCTCTCTCTCTCTCTCTCTCTCTCTCTCTCTCTCTAGTTTAAAAAATGGTTATTAATTGTTTTAATTGAGATTTTGTTTTGCTTTTGTTGATAATATTTAGGGTTAGGTGTGTTAGCATGTGCTTTTGATACCATAATTTGTGATAATCACTTTTTATGGTGAATGATTTCGGAAATTCTAATTATAATTAGAGTAAATTACTGAAATCGTCCCTATGGTTTGATTAAAATTGCACGTTTGGTCCCTAACTTTTATTTTGCACTCGGGTCATCCCTATGGTTTGATTTGGTTGTGTTTTTCGTCCCTATGGTTTGGTCAAAATTGCACGTTTGGTCCCTAACTTTTGTTTTGCACTCAGATCGTCCCTAGGGACCAAATGTGCAATTTTGACCAAACCATAGGGACGAAAAACACAACCAAATCAAACCATAGGGATGACCCGAGTGCAAAATAAAAGTTAGGGACCAAACGTGCAATTTTAATCAAACCATAGGGATGATTTCAGTAATTTACTCTTATAATTATTACAAACTTAAAATCCAAAACATCTAGATTTACCTTTACCTTTTACCTTTACCTTAACTAAAACAAAACATCTTGTAGATTGTTTCATGCTTACAAGGTGATTCAAAGTATGACAATCTTGGGGCAAAATTACCTAGAGGGGTACTTCTAGTGGGCCCACCGGGAACCGGGAAAACATTACTAGCCCGTGCAGTGGCCCAAAAGGCGGGGGTCCCGTTTTTTATAACATGTGCAAGTGAATTTGTTGAGTTATTTGTTGGAAGAGGAGCTAGTCGCATAAGGGATCTTTTTAAAGATGCTAGAAAATGTGCACCTTCCATTATTTTCATTGATGAACTCGATGCAGTTGGACTTAAACGTGGTAGAGGATTTAACACTGAGGGTGATCAAACTTTAAACCAAGTAAGTTGCATTTTATTTATTTATTTTTTTTGAGTGGGAGTTTTAATTCCAATGTGGATTGGGCTCGTGTTTGGTATGATGGAATGGAATCAGAAAGGAATGGAATGGAATGGAGACATGTTTGGTTAGCATGAAACGGTGAAAGAATGGAATGGACCATTTAAATATGACTTTTTTGTCATGTATAATTTGAATACTAAATGATTTTGAATTGATACGGAAAGAATAAAATGTTATTTATTTATCTACTCTGATAAATAAAAACCATTTCTGCCACTTGTCATTCCTCATGCATTATGCCATATGTCATTTTGTGGTAATTTTAGATTAAATTATATTTAGATGTCATTTTGTGTTTTTCTTTTTCCATTTTATTAAATTCCATATAATATTTAAATGTAAATTTGTAATAATAAATGCATATCAAATTCATTAAAACAATTTTTATAATTTCGAAATTTCTAAATTGAATCCAATTATTTTAATTGTTTATTTATTTAAATTATTTGTTTAAATTTAAAAGAAAATGAGCACTTCAATTTAATAGTTAAATATTTTTTTCTCTTCCCTTATAAATTCAAACTTTCTAAAATTTTAGATCTTTATATTTGTTTTTGGTTTTTTGAATAAACCCATGTAGTACATGGGTCTCACAACTATATATATATATATATATATATATATATATATATATATATATATATATATATATATATATATATATATATATATGTATATATATTGCTAAATAAATTGCATACAAACAATTTTTCATGTCGTTTGAAATATATAATGTGTATCTCCGATAGCCGATAGTAAAAAAGTTAATTTATCATTTTACAAAAATGTTAACCGAAAAAAAAGAGCTAAATGTTTTTAACTACACCATGAAATCTTGAAATAGAAGTATAATTCAAATTTATTTCTTACATATTTTTGGAAAATAACAAAATGTAATTCAATTGAAATCGTGAACTTTTCTAAAAACATTATTGATATTTAATGATTATATAAATAAAAGTAAATTATAACTATGACATATCATTCCATTCCTATGTGACACCATACACCACCTTAGTGGGCCACTAAGCACCTGATTTACATCTCACACGATACTTTTAGAGCAGAGCAGTGCGGAACAGCTCAGGGGTTTTACTGTAAAAAGACGTTACAATTTATGTTTCGGTTTTTAACAGTTGTTGACGGAAATGGACGGATTTGAATCGGATAAAAAAGTGGTGGTAATCGCCGCAACAAATAGACCCGAAATGCTGGATTCGGCTTTGCTTCGCGCGGGTCGGTTTTCAAGAAAAGTGTTTGTGAGGGAACCAGATGAAGATGGAAGAAAGCGAATCTTGGGAGTTCATTTTAGAGGTGTACCCCTCGAGGAGGACAAAAACGTCATTTGCGATCTTGTTGCATCTTTAACACCGGGTTTAGTAGGTGCTGACCTGGCAAATATTGTTAATGATGCCGCTCTTCTTGCTGCACGTAGAGGTAAAAGTTTCATGATCAACATGATAATGTGATACAGTAGAACCTGATGAGGAGGGTATTTACGTCTTTTGCACATTCAAATCACTGTCCCATCTTGTTACGGACAAAAACTGCAATTTTTGTCTCATTGATATCAGTCATAGATAGTCAGTCAGGTCAAGGTAAAAGTCTCAATATTTGACTTGTTTGGGTGACATAGGTGGAGTTTGTGTGTCGAGAGATGATGTAATGGAAGCGGTTGAAAGGGCAAAACTGTCATTTGACAATAGACAACAACATGAGGAGTTTAGTGAACAAGAAGCTCGGGAAATCGATTTGATATCATCCCGATTGCTTGGGCAGTCAAGGTTTGACTATTAAACAATAAAAAAAAAAATACTGATTTTCTTTTTGGAGTTGATTTTGGTAAGTATAATTTTTTTTCCACAATGTTAATTAATTTTAACAATATATATCAATTTTAACGTGAGTGGAGTTCAGAGGGAAAAAAGAAAAGAAAAACAGTGAGAGGGCTAATGTCTTGATGACTTGATACATGAAGTCGTGTTATTTTTTTTAGCTTAACCCATAAAGTCCATCTTATATGTGATTTGAAAACATGTTTTAGGTTACTAAAATAATATTTTTAAATAGTTTTTAATAAGAAATAATCACGAAGGATTATTGATTCAACAATCAACATTCCAGATTAATATCAATGAAACATTCTTTTATGGATTCATATCTATGATTCATTATTGTTTTGGGTTTTAACCCACTATTTCACTTTGCCTTGTGGATTTTGAACATATAAAACGATTTCATTTTGGACCAACGATATAACATAGATTGTTTAATTTATAATGTGATTATTAATCTACAACAAACTACCGAACGAGTCAAATGTTATACATTCTAGAATTGACCAAACCTCCGAAACTCAAAAATAATAAAACCAAAAACCGAACTATTATAACTTATGAATAAGTTTGATTTCGGTTTAAAATCTATCCAAATTTAAATCGGATCATGATCCACTTACCTACACGAGTTTATATTGATTTTAATAATATACATCTAAAACAATATCATACTAAGCTCGAAAAAACACCTGTTTGATTCCTGTTTCGAAATAGAACTGTCTAAATCAAAAACCGATTTCTGAAAATGATGTTAAACAGCAAACCAAATCAAATATAGGCAGTGTCGATTATATGCAATTCATACTCAATTTGATTCTATTTTAATGGATGCAAGTCTCTCTTATCTTAATCGAGCTTTACCCAAAGTTTGAAAGTATGGTTGCATTACATAAATATGATAGCACCTTACACTAGTACAACTACGGATACATTTCGTACATGATGATGGATATGTTGTGGTGGGTCATTGTGCAACTATCGTTATGATACTAAGTCTAGACCACAAATGGGTCGAATGGCGATGTGGTTCCTAATTTGGAAAAAGTGGTTCATGGTCAGATGGTTTGGTCATGGTCCACATCTCTTTGTAATTCACTAATTTGGCCTCACCATCCATGGAGTACATACGTACCACTTAAAACTGGTAAGATGTTACAAAATTATAGAAGAATACAAAAAAATGTATATGGATTTCTAAACCAGCCTATTCTATCAACTTTTATTTAAAATAATATTACTCGAAATCGAAATCAAAGAATTAGAAACAATTTCATTACACACACACACACACACACACACACACACACACACACATATATATATATATATATATATATATATATATATATATATATATATATATATATATATATATATATATATATATATATATATATATATATAGAATTAGATTCAAATGTTTTCAATAAGTATTGTGTGACTCTAACAACCAATCAAAATTAAGAAAAATAAAATTCAATAATAAATAATAAAAGGGTGTAATAGTAATTTTGTCACACTTAATTATGGTAAATATTTAAAACATTTAATATCCTTTAAATTAGGGTGATTTGTTTGGTAACCCTACAAAAACGACGGCCATTCATCACCATCAACATTATCGTATTCCATGTTTCTCCTCACCAAGTCCGACAACCATTGCCGCCCAATACCATCGTCGATCACCAACATCATCATCTTCATATGTTGTTGAGGAGAGTAAACTAATCTAACTTGCGATTCTTGAAGAGAAGAAGGGCAGAGATGCAATCTGCACCAACGATGATGCGATTCTGCGAGTCTCGATCTTTCCCGTTCCCATGAAAGGTTTTGTGATTTTTTCCCTGTAGTATTTGATTTCCTATTCTTCTACATCTTGATTGCTTGCAATTCTTCCTCTGAATGTTTCGATTTACGTTTCTTCACATGGATCTTCCATTAGATTTATTCACTGATTTTCGATTCTTTGATTTTCGATTATCCTTCCTTTTGATTACTGATTTCACTAGTATGCCCATTATGCTCTCATTCTTCTTTAATTTTAAATATCCATCATTCAAGTTAATTTTGTAATTTAGAATCTGACTTAAATTATGATTGATTGTTCTTGATTTTCCATATGTTCTTTGATAGTTGATTGTTCTAAATTTGTCTTTGATGAAAAGGGTTAAGCTGACATTCTGTCAGAATTTGCATGAAAAGGGTTAAGCTGGAGATTTTTTTTTTTCATATCAGAATGCAAACACATGTTCATTCTATTAGAATATAAATATTACATAAATCATGTGTTGCTAATAATTCTAACAGAATACAATTATACATTTTTTAGAATGTTTATGAATAAAGAAGAAAAGACTATGATTTAAGTGCATTTCTGTAATGTATCCTGTTAAAATTTCTTTATATAAATGCATTCTGTTAGAATTTATCGGAATTTATTGTTTTATTCTATATAATGCACTAAAAATTTTAATATCTGAAAGTTGATTATGTTTTCTTTGTGGATTTAGGTTTTGAAGAAGTTGCCATTAATGAGGACAATGAGGAAACATGGAGAACAATAGCGCATTCTAACAGAATGTATTCTGTCAGAATTTATAAATTGTTTCTTAACAATAATATTCTTTCGGAATGGATTAGTGTTTTTGTTAGATTTTGATGTTTTTTTCTTTTTTAACCATTTTTAGTTTTAATCTTTAAGAATAATGTAATCCTTAAACCATTGTTTGTCATAATTTTTTTCGAATGAATGTAATAATTATTTATAGTCTTATTCTTTACAGATGAATGTAAATAGTGATTCTAAAATAATAAAATTTGTATTCCTTGGAAAATGTTATTCTTGATAATATGTTGTATAATTCTTTAAGCATGTTTAATATAAAAAGTATCTTGAATGAAACCATATTCTGGAAGAATAAAACCACAAAAATATTTACTAGTTTATTGTTGACTTTTTGTTATTCTGGCAGAATAAAATCGGTTATTATTAAAAATAATATTAAAATTTAATTATAATTAATTTAAAAAATTCAGATTTTTAAAAATAAGGGAATTAATGATCCCTTAAAATCCGAATATTTCCTTTTTTTAAATAGGTTAATTGACCAAATTACCCTTTTGCTAAAAATTTTGTGATTATATGATACATGCTACCCTATTATAATATCGTAGAACCTCAGATCATGATTGTTGATTCTTTTCATCCGGTGGTCTAGATCTGTGCATTCTGGCACACAATAGTTAGTAAAAACAAAATAACCTAAACCTATATATATATATATATATATATATATATATATATATATATATATATATATATATATATATATATATATATATATATATATATATATATATATATGTAACGCCCGGGTTTTCAGGGCTAAGCATTTTTGTCAATGTAATAGTCTAGGTCAACTATTGTAACTCTTTTTGAAGTAATAAATATGAAATATTTGAGTATTATGTGAATTATGTGTGTTTATGTGTTTATTATTTAATTATAAATGTATAATTAATAAAGAATAAAAATGAGCGTCAAAATTAAAGTGTGAGATAATCCCGATATCTCTACATAAAGTTGTAGAATATGTCTCAAGGTTTCCGTGCATATAAAGAATGCCGAAATCCGAGCTATAAAGAAGAAGTTATGGCCCGCCGAAGTTTTACGACAAAACCGGCACGACACCGGGAAACGTAAATAGTGAATTTACGATAGAAGACTTTTTAGCCTTAGCAATCTAAACAAAAGTCGTAGAATATGTTAAACTAAGAACATCGATAAAAAGAACGCCCAAATCTGACTTCGTATGAAGAAGTTATGATTTTTCTAAGATTCGGCTTAGCAGTGCACGGCCTGAAACTCGAATTTTAGTTCGAGCGGTTTTTGGCTTACGCAACATAAATGAGAGTTGAAGATCTCATTAATAGGAAATCAACGGTAAAAAGACAGACAAAAACAGAGTCCGTATGTAGAAGTTATTAATTTTACGCAGACGTTTAACAGTATAATCTCCTTGTACTGTTAAATTTAAGATCGGTCGAGAATTAGCTGACGGTGTCAAAATGAAAGTTGTAGATCTTATTATTACCTACGCGTGGATATAAAGAACGTCAAAAACGGAGGTCGTATGTGAAAGTTACGGATTTTAGAAGTCGGAAGTGTGCTGTGCGAAAATGGGTGATGTGGCACAATCTTGGCCATTGCTTTCTCCCCAAGGCTTGCCACCAGATGGTGACATGTGGCACCAAGTTCAGCCACATTTCACCCTATAAATACCACCTCTCCCACCCTCATTTTCTTCACACCTTTCCCATTCTTTCTTCTCTTTACTCTCTCTCTCTCTCTAGAACCTCTCTCTAGCCCCGAAATCCCCCGAAAAGCCTAGGGAACCTCCCTAGCACGAGGCGGAAGCCCCGGAGTGCTCGAAGGCTCTGAGAAGAAGAGCTTTTCGGCTCGGGAACGCTGCTCCAAGCAAAGCCCGGTTTTCTATAAAACCCGCTGTAAGTGAGCTACGCCTACGCTATTTTTAATATAACTTTTATTTAATTATAGTAACGTTATTAGGAACTTATAATAAATACTTGGGCTATTATTATGGGTTATATAAGTATTTTTTTGACGCTTATATAATAATAATAATAGCTAGACTATTAATTAGTCTCGACGAATAATAAACTAAACTCTAGTGGTAATAATACTAGGTTTCGTCGAAGAAAAATTCTTTTTAAGAAGCGAAGCGCTGTCTGAGTTCGGAATCACCACCTTTTCCGGTGAGTGCATAGTTACCTTCAACTTACACATAGATATGAAGTATTTTATATAAATTACGTGCTATGTGTGCATATTATCTGAATACTTGCTATCTATGCTAGATGAACGTTGTTATACATGTTTTCAATGATTTAAACTGTATATGTATTTTATATCTACGAAAATGTTGGGGTAAAACATGGGTAGATGTAATAGGTGATGTGTGATAAAATGATGAGAGGCCTCGATGTTGTTGTTGTTGATCCAGTCATCTAGCGGAGTATAGATGACGACCACGGACTCTTCTAGACAGTCCAGTGGAACACTAGCAGGTCGCAACCTGTAGGTGTTGTGAACGATGTGTTCACCGGTGTACTCCATCCCCCACATGGTTGCCTATTAGGACATTTATTGCTGAGGAATCCCCTTAGCAGTAGTGTCCGTCCCGATGATGATCCTTAGGCTAGGTCCCTTATGATAGGTGTTTAGGGACGTAAAGTGAGGATAACGGGAACGGGTAATCGGGTTATTGTTGATTGATGAAATTAATAAACTTATTGTGGGTTGAAAACCCTATGTGCTCACCAGGCTCCCAAGCCTGACCCACTCAGTTTTATGCATTACAGGTAGTGGCGCATGAGCATAGGTGTGATGTTTTGGACGAGGGATTACGGATATAGGCCTGTAGATATGAAATAATGTAGTAAGGCTTATATTGTACTGTTTATACTTTTGATCTGTACGAACATGACATCCCGAGTCTTTTAATGAAATACATTTCTATGGAAATGCTTTTGATAAATCTTTATCATATTATTGTTTTGGGACAAATTCCGCAACCCTTTTATTAAAAGATAACTCTGATTTTGAAATAAAGTATAAACAAAACCGGTCTTTTCTGGCCGTGATTTTGGGGATGTCACAGTTGGTATCAGAGCATTAGTTTAAGCGAACTAGGAATTTGTAGGATTTCTAGACTTAAACTTAGAATGCTAAGCGATGATTGTGAGGTGTGAGCACTAGCTTATTTTAGGAATTGTGCCTAAAATGCTTTTATGTGCTAAATGTTTTATGCATGATATGCTGTTATTTTGTTCGGGATCTATGGTCTGTTGCCGACCGGATCTGGAACCTTATGTGTTTAGGATTCTAAACGTACGACTACGATATTAGAACTAGCATGTAAACGTTTCGGAGTGATAAGGACGATTTAAAACGTCTCTCCTAAATAAAGATCTAAATCCACCTTATTCGGTATATAGATCAAGATGGTAAGGACCCGTAGCGGAAACGTAAACGCAAATGGGAACGGACACCAACCCCCGTGATCGAGCAAATACCAGTTGTGGAAGCCGCTGCCGGACCAATAACGATGGCCGGAGTGCAAGCGATGATCCAGGCAATGTTGGATCGTCAAATGGAGGAAACCAGGCGTTTGCTCCAGCAAAATCGAGAGGAAGCGACTATTCAGCTCGAACAGCCCGAGTTGAACGAAGGGCAGACTGAAGAAGGAAACTACAGTGGGACTATTGGTCAAGCCAACCCACCGATAGTTAGGCAAAACCACCAGGATGGAGGAAATGATGGACGTGGATGCAAATACAAGGATTTCATGGCATCCAAGCCACCGAGTCTATCCGGAAGCCCGACGCCGGTGGAAGTCATGAACTGGATCTCTGAGATGGAGACAATGTTTGAGAGTTGCGAGTGTAGCAATAGGCAGAAGACTGCTCTTGCAGTTCCTCTATTGAAATCTGGAGTACTAAGCTGGTGGAAGCTATTAGCTGATTCAATGCCCAAAGGTGAAGCAAGCAAAATGTCGTGGGAGGATTTTCTGGTACAGTTGAAGATGCAATACTGCTCTGAGCAGGATCTTCTGGAGATCAGCAACGAATTCCAGAATCTGAAGAAGGGAAGAATGAGCGTTACTGAATACGCTGCAAGCTTTACTGAGAAAATGAAGCTTGTTCCTCACCTCGTCCCAACTGAACTCTCCAAGGTTAACAAATTTGCCCTCGGATTACCAGCGGACTTCGGTCCAATGGTCAAGCAAACTACCACTCTGAAAGCTGCCATCTGGGCTGCTAAGAATGTGGAGACCCAGATACGAGAAAAGGGTCTGGAGAGAGCGGAAGTGGGAGAGAAACGGAAATTTGACGGATCCTCGAGGTCCGGTAAGAAAGGTAGATTCTCGAAGTCTAGTTCGAGAGGAGGAGGATCAGAAGCAAAGTGGTGTGACAAGTGCAAGAAGAAGCACTCTGGGAAGTGTGATGGAGGGGTCACTTGTTACAAATGCGGAAAGCCTGGGCACTATGCCAACGAATGCACCTTAACCAGAAGGCCTGTTATGGGTGTAATGAAGAAGGGCACATTTTGAAGGACTGCCCGAAGAAGAAGGAGGCAGGAAGACCCAACATACCACCAAAGCCGAAGGCGAGAGCCTTCCAGATGACGCTCGAGGCTGCAAAGGAGGCAGCAGACGTCGCTTCAGGTACCTTTCTTGTAAATGGTTTGCCTGCAAATATACTGTTTGATTCCGGAGCCAACTACTCCTTTGTGTCGCATAAATTTAGTGCGAAATTAGCATTACCTGTAGAAAAACTTGATAACGCCCTAATTGTAGAAGTTGCCAGTGGCAAATTCGTACCTGTTAGTAATCGTATTAGGAACATCGTCATTGACCTAAACGGAAACGAATTCCAGGAGGAACTATTACCCATAGAGTTAAACGGTTTCGACATCGTTTTGGGTATGGATTGGC